TGAAAAAATTTTTAACTGCACTGAACATCCAGTTTAGTGTATTACATCACAAAAGCAATGTGAAAAATTCTGAGTAGCCCCAATAAACATACCGTAAATGTCTCATATAGAGATTTGGCTGTTTTGCTTTTTGTTTGTTTTTTTTTTTCTCTCTCTCTCTGGTGTTTATGTGTTGATGTTGGCAGGTTTTTTTAAAACTACAGAGCTACATGAATGCAGTTTCAGGTCTGGAACAATTAAGTATGAAGCATGTGAAACATCTTTCTATACATCTGGTAAAATGGAAATTCTTGTCTCTTCAGAAAGGGGCTAGTTTTTGATTTCTCTCAGGTTTTGTCTTCTGTTCTGCTGGCACCAGTGCCTTTCATCATTCAGTGCAGTACAGAAATGCCAAGGTTTCCTGTATTGCAAGTTCATTGCAAGTTGGGTGCATCAGGGAAGTCGGAGTGAGTTGAAGAGGCTCAGTACTCAGTGGGAAGAAAATGTAAGTGGTTTAATGGAGATATAGAGGAATTAAGTGCTACAGACAAGGTTACACAGGAAATCAATCTACCCTGCAGATCAGGGCTGTACATCTGCAAACTGCACATCAGCAAGTCAAGAGGGAGTTGGATTGTGCTTTCAAATAAATGAATGAACTTCAGATGAGGGAATGCAAGCTAGTAAAGCCGACTTTCATCTGGGGGCATACACTTCCTCACCCCAAATCTTGCTTGTGTGTGGTGTCTCCTCACCTCCTTCACTCCATGCAGGTCCCTTCTTCTTCCATTGGCATGAGCTGCAGATTCACAAAAGGAGACTGGATAGGTGTCCATTGAGACAGACCTTCCAGTGAGAATGGCAAACCTTTGTTTGTGCTGCAGCTGCTGCTTTGTCTCCATAGAGTCATGAGCATCTCACTGGCCCCCTTGCATGACTTTGAGTGTGTCCTTTGATTTTACACCAGCTTTGCAGAAACTCAGTTGAAAGAGGCATGGATACTATTCTGTTTATGTTGCAAAGCCGTTCCATCTCAGTCTGACTTGAGTCAGAGATCCCTCAGGTCTCTTCTGAGTGGACTGTCTCACCTGTGCAGGGTCTGGGAGTCTTGGTGCTGTAGCCACTCAATATCAGAGGGTTTTTTTGGAAAGCAAGAAACAGAATGCATTTTTCTGTTTCAAGACAAAAGAGAGTCAGAGATTCCCCAGGTAAGCACAGTTGTATCTGCTTGACATGAAATGATCCTAAGGTAGTTTTAAGCAGTAATTCGCCTTTTAGAGAGTAGCTTTTAAAAGATGCAATAGCTTCTATTTTTGTTCTTGTTAACATCTTTAGGCAATTCCCATGGATGGGAGTAGATCTCACTGTTTTTCAGTACCATTGAATATTTGCATTGATAGGGACTTTGTTCGCACTGCCTGCAGTTGCTTTTTTAAATATGGTGCTTCTGTGTTCAAGGAAGAGGGAGGGGAAGGCAGAGTGTGCAGTGTTTTCAGATGTTTATCTCGTGCATGATATTTTCAAATGGTAATTTGCATGTAATTCATGTAATTTAGTCCCTTCAGTAGGCCAGTGTTTGGTATAGGGCTCTATAACACAGCGACTTTTCTATCTTGTGCTTGTATAGCTGAAGACATTACGGAAAATAAAGGAGGTACAAATTTCGAGTAGGTGAAGGAAAAACAACACACAGATACATGGTCTACAGCTGTGCTTTACCTCACCACTGCTGGTCATTCCCAGTGTACACCCTCCAAGCCCATTGTCTGCTATAGATGTACAGAAAGGCAGTATTTGGGGGCTAGTTGTGGACTGTATGAAATGGACTCTGATGAACACCTGCTCCCAAACGCCACATTTCTTCCGTTATGTATCTTTAAGTGAAACCCAAAACCATAGTTAGTGTTTCTTGTACTTAATTGGCAAAGTAGACTTAGAGTGCATACACTGAACACTGGCTATATGCCATAAAAACTATGCATACTTTGCAAAGAAAAATTAATATGAGAATTAACTCACTGGAGACCTTTTTCCTCCCCTCACACCACCATAAAGCTCAGGCAGACTGAGACTACGGTGCCAGCAGATCAGTAATGCAGAGAAAATTCTTGTCCAAGATTTATACAACAGTTCTGAACATGTGATGCCAAAAACGTGGGTAAAGACACTCCTCACAAATATGTGTAAAGCCCTTGTATCATGAGGCTTCTCTGAGAGCTGCAGATTTTTCCCGTCTCTAGTAATCAGTTCAGAGCAATTGCTGCTGTCCAAATCTCACTTACATCAGCTGGGAAGTAAATGTTACTTTGAAACCCTTCAGTGTTCTGCTTTTGATTGAGCTGTTGCTTAAAAAAAAAAAATAATGAAAAAATAAAAGGCAGTAAGTGAGATTATGGAAACAATTACAGAGAGGTACAAGCCCACTTGTACCACTTGTACTATATCTATCTTCATTTTTCAATTTAAAACATTCCATTAGCCAGCAGGATACAAAATAGTGTTTTTTTTTTTAAAAAAAAATGTTGGGGGTCTTTGCCTTTCCAAATTAAGGCACCATCTTTCTGAGCCTGAGAATCCTCAGAAATGTTGATCCTCAGAGTGCTTGTCTCAAGGTTGAAGTGTGTCCTTTTGCTTTTTAATAAGGTAAAAGCACACAAAGGTGCTTAGGCTTTTAGCAGGGATAAGCCTAATATTGAGTTTACCTGTTGGGACTCACAAAGGCTTCAAAGTATGCATTACTGTACAGATGGAATTTGCTCTACCCACATTTGTCAGTCTTGGGTCTTGGTATGACACAGCCTAGTCACATCAGGCATCTCGTTTGGGATAACAATCCAGGCTCCTTTCAAGCCAGTAGAGAAGGAAGGGCTCTTCTACAAGGCAAGTATCCCCACCCTGAGATTCATGTCAAGGGTGGTTGTCAGCCCACTGACATCAAGCACAGAGGGCCCTTCCCTGCTGACGGGATGGCAGTCTGTTGGCCAGCCTTTTGTCAACGCTGGGTGCAAAGCCCTGTTTGAACCGGTGCTAGCTGAAAGAGTGTCAGACTACTCTTAAAACATGACCCCTTTTCCTGCCCTTGGACAAGACATAAATTTATCCTCGTCTGAGAGGTTATAAATCACACTTTGAGGGGCCAGGAGAAAGGAATGTGTTATTAAGAGGAATCAGTGCTCCATGTTTGCATTTCATTAGCACTAAGAGGCCCCAGCCAGGATCAGAATCTGGGGAGATGTGACACAATGGGTGGGTGCAAGCGCAAAGCAGGAGGGAGTTTTGAGTTTTGAAAGAGGTCACAGGAGGTTTTTTCCTGGCCTGTTAGAGTAGGGCACCCCATGAAAGTAAGGCAGCATGGAAGAAAGAGAAAGAAGCTGATACATTGGTGATTAACTGCAAAGGAAGGAACAGATATGGGAGATGTTAGCTGCACAGTCAGATGCAATTTAATGGAGTAAATCAGAGGACTTAAATATCCCAGTCACTATCTTATGTTTCATTGAAACAAGATAGGTAAAGCTGCTCTGAAAATGGTGCCAGCCAAGGTGGTCCATTTTCCCATGTACTGAGTGCTAAAAATGCATGCATGTACCTGGAAGAAAATGGGAAATGCATGAAAATCAAATGTGACAGGGACTACATCACACTACCACTCAAAATGTGTTAGTGGTATTTGTTGATAGCCAATCTGCTAAAACCATGTTTTCTTCAGACTGAAAGTATGCAGGAAATCACCTCCTGTAAACGTGCCCCTTGGGGACCTTTGTGTTAGAAAAGGCTTTGAATATCAGACAACTTCTGTGTTGTATGGAGCTTTCTAGTAACTCCAGTGGAATAAGTCACTACATAATAGCATTGTTTCACCTGAGGATAGAAACTGCCTTTCAGAAACAAAAATGACCTGAAGTTGTGTCAGGGCAGGTTTAGGTTGCGTATTAGAAAAAGGTTCTTCCCCCAGAGGGTGGTTGGGCACTGAACAGGCTCCCCAGGGCAGTGGGCACAGCACCAAGCCTGACAGAGTTCAAGAAGCATTTGGACAATACTCTCAGGCACATGGTGTGACTCCTGGGCGTGGTCCTGTGCAGGGCCAGGAGTTGGACTCGATTATCCTTGTGGATCCCTTCCAACTCGGCATATTCAGTGATTCTGTGAAAATATTGGGATTTTTTGAGCACAGTAACAAAATTTCTTACTTCTATATGTCTGGACATGTCTAAACAAAATCCATCCAGGAATCTTCACCACTTTTTACGGTTTGCAGATAGCCACTTCAGTCAGTTTTAGCCATTTAAAATACTCCATGATCATGAACCCATCTGCAGGAGATGCTAGGTTGGCCTCTGGATCAAAGATTCCTGCAGACACAGTGGTGACAATTGTATAAGCACAGGAAGGTTCAAAGCCTCCAGCATCCCTGTCCTTTTCCTCCTACGTAGTTGAACCAGGGTAGCCACAGCTCTCATTTATGAGCTAGGGGAGAGACATTCAGTACTCAGCCTTTCACCCTCTCCCTTGGGAAGAATGAAATAGCTGGACTGAGGGCTTGAATCAGCACAGGGCCTCAGATCAAACTTCCTGAAAAATACCTACTTCAGGGCTATGCCAGGAAGAAATCTCATCCAGGTCCTGATTTTATTGGACGCTGTATCAGCAATCTGTAATGACTCTCACACCCTAAAATCACTGGAATGCAATCAATGCAATGTAAGTTGCCACACATAAATGATACATTTTTTAATTAAATAGATGTGAGTGTTGCAGAAATTTAAGGTCACTTCATGGACAAGGCTAGGGAAAGCCTCACTTCTTCCCAGACTGAGTGTGAGGACTGTGTATGTCCGAGGTGTGTATTTAAACTCCACTCCCTGTGTCAGTCAACAAAATACAAGGGCAAGTAATTAGTGCTTGTGTTAAGACTTGCCAGATCATCCCTAACCTTACTTCTTCCCTCTCATGTAAGTACACTTACCAGTCAGAAAGAAAAACAGCCTCTGATCCATGTTTTTTGCTCTTGTCTTTTCCAGCCACTTCCACATCTACAACTGGGACAAGTCATCTCACAAAATGTGACGTAAAGCAGAAAGCCTTCTGTGTAAATGGGGGAGAGTGTTATATGGTTAAAGACCTCCCAAACCCCCCAAGATACCTGTGCAGGTAAGAAATCCTACTTGCCTCTTTTTTTGGACCCACTGGTTTTCACAAATGGTTTCTCTTCAAAGGAGCACCCGAACAATTTCTTCTTCTGAACTTGCATTTCTTCGTTTTTACCCATGTGGATGTGAAAATAACGTACCAAGACTGACCTCTGTGTTCTATATATGAGGCATAGCAGAGTCTAACCGGGAAATCTTTCCACACCATAATGGCACAGCAACCTCCATTGATGTTTACATGGCATAAAGTAACACAACTTGAGCCTTATTGTTAGAAATAATGAAACAGATACTGTAAACTCAATACACAGTATTTAGAAGAAAAAAAAAAGAAAGAAAAGGTGTGTGGATCACTGAATTGGATAATTACCCTTTGTACGGGAGACACTGTTGTTTTTATTGTCTGATGTAGTAACTGAGCACTTTCTGAGGAGATCAGATTCATAACTGGTTGTTGTCTTTAACTGCATAAAAAGCACTGAATGTCATGTTAATTGGTGGAGGTTGCTATCTTGTGTGAAGATCTTGATTCAGGAAGTCATATGCATTTAATTTAAGGGGGTGCTTTTGCACCTTCCTCAGGTCCTGGCCTGTGCTGTTTTGGACTATTACAATAGTCCCTTGTGTTGGAGAACACGCAGGAAGAGCTACAGCACTGGAGTTCATCTCCTCCCTGCGATCACATCATGTAGCATTTATCCCTGGAGATGAACTAGTCATAGGGACTGCTTCTCTCTAGCCTGAGAGGTAACTCAGCGTTTAAACCTTGAGAAACATCATTGGTACCTAAGAGGACTGAGTGGAAAGGATGCACTTTTGTGAGACTATTCCTGTTTTTCTGGCAGGCAAGAGATGGTGGTTGGTAAAGGCTGTCATCAGCTGTAATTGCATCATTTTTCAGTCTCCTGGGACTAAAAGTGAAAGAACACTAATTGTAAAGATAACTTTGGTGGGTGTGTTAGGTGAAGGTCTATGATGCTTTCACTAGGCCAGGAAGACATTGACTGCTTGTCTCTGTTGTTAATGTGAAAAAAAAAAAAAAAAAAAGGTAAACAAACAAACCAAAAAAAGCCACCAAAACCCCCCACCAAGCAGCACAATGTTCTGGTTTACCTGCAAGTTTTCTTGGGTTGGGTTTTTTTTTTTTTTTCGGTAGAAGAATGATGTTACCTGCACTTCATGGGCTTTGTTTTGCTTTGGGTTTTCAGATGGCTGTGCTGCTGAAAGTGATGTTATGTTTCACTGATTTTAGGATCATTTGTAGCTAAAGTGAATATGGAAAAGTGTGCTGTGGTGGGTTCGATCCTTTTCTGAGAGAGAGATTTGTCTTAAATGTGCATGATCATTGTAAACCAGCAGTACAAGATGAGCAGTTTGACATGACTCTTCAGAGCGTGTACAAGAGCCTACCTGCGTGTTTCAACTTCCTATCCAAATACTGTTCAGAAAACTCCAGGGCAGCAGAGCTCAGCATCTGTGAGACTTGCTAATCATTAACATTGTCTTGCCAGTTTCAGAAGTGTCCCCTTTTCACTGATATGGGGACTTTTTTTTTTTTTTTTAAATTCAGAGATCTGTATATGTTTTTTGATTATGTTATACACTGGCTAATTGTTTTAATAATATATGTCAGAGACATTTGAATGAAGTGGGTGCTTTTTCCCCCTATTGTAGGCAAGAAAGAACCTTTAATTCTGGGGCTGGATTTGAAAGAAAAGGCAATTCCCAGATTTGGCAGATGTGCCTCTCCTTGGGTGGTCCAAGACCTATTTGGAAAAAGCATCAGAGCTTTAAAGTTAGAGAGGGTGAATCTCATTTACAGTAAGGCAGTGGAGAAGAATTCTTATCCTGAGAACTGTCAGGGCCACTACTATTTTGCAGAGCCATTTGCTATGCTCTCTGCTACTTGCCAGAACCAAAACTTTATGTTGTGTAGTAAAACAGGACACACTACAGCTACAAAGGAAATAAAAGCGTGAGTACTTAAAAGTGGGTACACTGGGAAACTGAAAAGACAAAACACAGTTTTCTTCTTATTTCATTAAAAATACAGATGTCTACTTTTAATTCTAGAGCATTCCAGTGTTAATTAAAATAAGTATATAGTCACTACACATTGCCTTCATTGTTCTGAGAAAATAAATCTACTCCCAGAACATGCCTGTGGAAACAGAATGCTTGAAATATGGTACTTGCTCTTCATATTTCTGCCTCAGTAGCAAGTTCACATTTTTCCATATGGTCCATCTGTTGAGAGCAAAAACAAAATTTTTAAAGCATGAGCCATATCATTCTAAATTGGTTTTATCCCTAACCAAAAAAACATGACTCAGATTCAAAACAACCATGGAATTTTCCAAGTGATATCTCTGGTTTTGTAAATCCCCTATTCTATTTAAAAAAAAAAAAAAAAAAAAAAAAAAAAAAAAAAAAAAGAGATACCACATTCAACTTCTGTTAGAATCTTGCCATGTGTAAAACAAACAAAAAAACCAAAGATACAGACAGAATCTGATCTTGCTCTCAGGGGTACTGATGTGAACTTCGAGAAATTTTCCTGCTTTCTAGCGGTAACCACGTGAAATACTCAAGAAACATGTGAAGGCTTAGACACTGTACAGCTACATCTATGGTAGCATGTACGTTCCCTATGTGCATTTTAATTATGGCCCCAGACTGAACAGAACTGTCTCAAAATATGACAGATGAAATAGGAAGCTTTGAGGTTGCTTAAATAAATTAGTGTATAAAATTTTCGGAAGCTTCCCAGGAACATGAACCATATTTTTAAAATGCCATGGACCTGGGAAGCCTGGATGTTACTGGTTTCTTATGAGACTGAGTTCCTTGAGTCATTTCTGTTCAGTTGGAAACATGTCCCCAGGTTCACTGAAGACAGAAAGATCAGGTAGCTTTTTCAATAAATTAAAAATTAAGACCAAAATTCCTAGCATTTCTTATTACTTGAAGAAAAAATTGTATGAACATAATATCTGTTACACTTCTGAAGTGTTCTTTTGAAGTATCATACCATGAAGGCCTTGTTGGTCTGGCTAACTGATTTCTTACTCGCAGATATCATCTTTTCTAGTGCTTTTGTTGTTATTGAAGAAATGAATTTACATCTGAGTTTCACTGGATGAAAATAATGCTTCTCTCTAACTGAAGTAGGCTGCTACTTTTCTTAACAGCAGAAGACTGAATTAACTACTTTTTAAAGATATAGCCATTTTCTGTATGTATCTTCATGTAAAGGCCTTTGTAGAATAGAAATGGGCAGAAGGTTATTGAAACCAGTGAAAAGAGAAAATTTGTTTCAGCAACGCAAGAAGTTCCAGAGATATTCTTTCAAGAGGTGGGATAGAAACACTGTTTCTGACTTTGGCAGTGAAATGGACTACTAAATATGACAGTACTGTACTTCCCATGGAAAAAAAAAAAACAAACAAACAACAACCAACCAGAATGTTCTTCCAGAAAGCATTTGTTTATAGGCAGTAAATGAAGTGGAAATGTGAGTTCCTGATCCATTCAGCCGTTCCTCTCCTGCCAAAAAACAGTTTGGTGATATGCATTCAGTGCTCTGAGAAGCGTCTACTGAATGCATGAAAATGCTGCTCTTTGCAGCTACTGTGTGTAGAGGAAAAAAAGCAATTCTTCTATTATATGTGGTTCAGTATCATGGGTTTACCCAGTTAATGCAATAAATAAATAGTCCGAGTAGCCTTCCGTAAGGCAGAAGGGAAATTATTAAGCTCTCACAGCACAAACATCTACCTTTTGCTCCAGGTTGTTTGACTTCAACTAGTGTCATAAAAGAAAATGGAACATGGATAATGATCCAGAAAAGAAAAACACAAAAAGAAATAAAAGTCTGAAAACTTCGAGTAGGATACGGTGTTTCAAAAAGGATACAATCGCGAGCTGTTTGTGAACTGGAAACAGTGCTGCACTGCACATCTGAGCCATAAAATGCCTTTAGCACTCACACATCATCACAAGAGGACCGGCTCATCCCAGCTTTCCTCTCAGATGGCCCACCCTGGGCCCATTCTCAGGGGCAGGTGCTCCAGCCCGTTTGCTGACAATGGTTTCAGAGTGAGTATAAACACACCTGAACTGTTCTCAGCACCATCGCAACAGGGCTGACCCCGGTTGGTCTGGAAGTGATTTCAGCTTTGTCTACACCAGCGCTCAAGTTGTTTTCATCACCTCCACAGCTGCACCAACATCTGAAAACAAGCACAGAGGAAGCAACCCACCAATGGCCAGTTGCAGGAGCAAAGCCTGGGGCTTTTAATCAGCAGCATGTTCCTTGGGATTGTGTAGGGTTGAGCCTGAGGAGCAAGACATAGAGGTCTCTGTGAATGGAAAGCCATCCGTGCACAAATTGCCAGCTTTCCAGGGACAGTTCTTTAACAAGATCACAACAGTGGGAAATAATTTTACTCTCATTCAGTTGCACAGATGGAAACGCTTTCTATCAAAGGCATTTTGCCGTCCATCAAGGATGCAAGAATTCTTCTGTCATGCCCAGCAATATCACCTTTTCATGGCAGAGTTATCTTTGTTGCATTTTTCTCAACTGAATGTGTCTGTGGAGACTGGGATCTCTCCACACTGGTGGGTACTTATGAAAAGATGTGATCTTGGCTCTGGAGAACATAAACTCCCTTCCTTGGTAAGCAAAATAATAACAGTAAGCTCCGAAGAATTATCTGCAGATCCTCAAAATATGTGTTTTGTTATACAAAAATAATTCCTGCATGGTTTATTTGAAGAAGATACTAGTGTTTATGCCTGACACTGGTCCTCTGCCAAAGGGATTTTCTGAAAGTCCTGCTTGTGCAAGAGCAGTACCTGTGTCTCTTAGGGATAGAGGTAATTGTGGAAGAGCAGAATTTAAAAAATCAGGACAGCTTTCAACACACATGCAACTCAGATGGATTGAAGAGATGGAGGGTTGTTCTGAACAACATGCATTTGCAAATAAGAGGGTTCTTCAGCCCCTGGCAAGTAAATGATGAAGAAGTTTGAAAAAGAGCTAGCACCATGTCATCAGCAGGAGAAGAAGAGGGAGATATTCCTGCACCACGGCAAACTCATGGAGAACATCACAAAGACAAGCAACACAAGTGAGATGTGTTCAGTAAAGAAGATATCAGGCAATTTCGGATTACATACTGAGTGAGAGTGGAGGGAAGAAGGAGAAAGAAAGAAAGAAGATTGAAATCTGTATGTATTTAGTGTGGTGGACAGTCATTCACACTTAAGTCTGTAGCACTACGGTGATATTTTGGGAGCCTGAGCTCTGCCCCAGAATGGAGAATAAAGGTGAGGGAAGAATTAACAGGAAGCAGCAGCAAAGACAGGCAAAGCACAGAAGACAACTTCATTCCCTATGACCAAGGGGAAAGCTGCACTGAAGTTTTCTGCAGAAAAGCTTATGAACTGCAAGGACAGACAGCTATGGGCCTTCTTTTGAGAACACTTCTGCCTTCTCATCATAGTGACTGGACTGACTTGTTTTTCCACTTGTCAGCCATGTTGAATGTACTTCCCTTTGGGTTTGAGTTTGTCTTCTCACTTTTTGGAATATTTTTGGCTTTTCTGTGATTACTGTATTAAATACTCCTCCTCGAAGCAAATTACCAGAAAACACAATATGCCCTCACACAAATAGGGAAATCATGGTGTTTTCATAGATTTTATGTGACTGGTGAAAGCAACAGGGTGTTGCAAATTTGAAAAAAGAACTCAATCAGGTCCCTTCATGAGGTGGAATAAGCAGTCAACCGGTACACGTTTTTGCTAGCCATAATTCTTCTTCTTTTTTTTTCAAAACAGACAAGCAAAAAGACTTCCTAGATTTTTTTTTTCTCTGATGGATTTTTGTTGTAAATTTTGCAGAGTGTTATCTTCTGGAAAGATTACACTTTCTTGCCTCTTTTCTGATGATTTTTCACTAACACCTAACCAGGACATCACTTAATGCACTCCATAGACCAGCAGATGTAAGTCTGTTAGTGCAGTGGTTTTGGTGTACTATTGCTTATCACGTTTTTGCCCTTTAGGTGCCAACCTGGATTCACTGGAGCAAGATGTACTGAAACTCTGCCCATGAAAATCCAAAACCAAGAAAGTATGTTAAAATAATCTGAACTTTGCTTTCTTCCCCAACTACAGCAACAAAATCAATAGTACTTGGTGTTTTCACAGTTCAGCTGGAACTGGCCTCTTTACTCACTAATTTATGACTGATTCTCTAAAGTACAATCTGTACACCATAGCATTATTGACCTCCAAAATGTTTCTCATTTGTGTGATTTTTGATCTTTCCATTCATTCACAGATGCATTTGTTTTGCACACACTGGCAGTTTTCTCGTTTGGGAGACTGCTGTAAAGTGCAACCCTAAAAGAGCAAACTCATGGAGTGATGTACAGATCTTGTGTCCTTGCTGCCTTGTGGAAAGTGCATCCTAATACCAATTTGGGACTCTGGAATGGTGGATTTCTGTCTCACATCTTGAAACACACTTTGATCTGGATTGGTTTGGTTTTGGCTGGTTTTTTCAGGGGGGTATTTCTTTACATTTCCACAGAGCAAATGAGTTGCTCTCAACGTCTCGAGCCATTTTGACACGCTAAACCGAGATTCAGTTTCTGAAAGTGAACTCACCAAGTCATATCAGTTCACACTGAAGGAGCTTCTTTCTTAGCATATGTTCACCTCTTCTCTTTTCTCTGTTTTTTTTTTTTTCTCTACCATTTTTTTGTTTGTTTTTTCCTCTCAGGTGCCCAAATGAATTTACTGGTGATCGCTGCCAAAACTACGTAATGGCCAGCTTCTACAGTACGTCCACTACTTTTCTGTCTGTGCCGCAGTAGAAGCATGCTCAGTTGGTGCTGCTTTCTTGTCGCTGCATCTTTCCTTCAATTTTTTTTTTTTTCTTAAATCTGTAACTAGATTTGTTGCCTAAGGCCTAATATTGATTGTCTCTGCCTGTTGCATGAAAACGATAACAAAGAACGCAATTGCAATACTCTCCTGGATCGTTTGGCATTGAGATTATGGGGAAATGCAGGACTTAGGAACGCTGTGAAGTTAGCACTGAGTGTCTGACATGGACTCCCCAGTGAAACTGAGCAGAAAAAGTACAAGAATTATATTTGAAAGTCTCTCATTTTATTTGCCACAAAAAGCTAGTGAACAGGTAAAGCAGAGGGCAGCACTCACCCAACAAAAGGGACAGGTAGCCAATCCTCTCCTTCATTATGAAATTTGCATTTGGAACTACAGGTTAAAGGTTATTGAGATGTTTACTTGGTTTCTAGTGAGCACATGCCAAACAGGATCAAAGTGTACTTCCTCCTCATTGTCCAAGTTTCAGACGAAAGAGTGCATAAAGAAAAAGAAAAGAGAGGGAGATGGCTTAAACAATGGGGTCTGACATATTTTGGGTCTACTGGGGGTAACAGGTGCAAGAGATCAAATAGTTCAGATTAATTGGCAAAACAGAAGTTCCAAACACATACGCAAGCAGAGAGAGGACTTTGTTTCAGAATTCTGTTAGAATCAGCGATGCAGTCACATCCCATTAGTTTTCCCATGAAGGAATGAGTTTATTATTATTATTATTATTTATTATTATTATTATTCAGGGAGGAAACAGAAGGTACACTAAATACTTTTTTTTCCTCTCACTGGCTATAGCAAAGTTGAAGATAACACATAAGAAAATTGCTTAGATCTCACATTTTAATGCATGTGTACTAGGCACAATTAATTACTGCTGGCATCAGAATGTACTGTGATCTAAGACCAGTATGATAGAAACAATTTTTTTGATGGATTACTTGCCAGTATAGAAAGACTATAGGCTATCCTTTTTATTTCCATTAGTATATAGGACAAAAAGCTGTAAGCATTTTTGCTTAAGGGCTGGACATTTTGGAGCCTGCAGAGATGCAAAGGTTTTCTTGTATATTGATGGATGAAAAACGTCCATATATAATTCATACTGCCCATCATGGAAGCTAACCATGTAAATCCCAAGAGTAATGACTGGAGACCAGACCTCCCAGCACTCAAGTGTGTATTTTATGCCCTGATTTAAAAGCTTTATTAGTGTGAGTTATTTTTAAAATGCCTTTAGTAACTATGGATTTGAAAAATTTTATGCTGTGACAGTATTTGTTTACCAGATTTAGGTGGCCTTTCCTGGGTATTGTGGTGAAAAGTGCAGTTAAGGTTTTCTGATATTAGAAGAACAATTTAAAAGGAGGTGGTGTAAAAATATGAGATCCATTGTTTGCTGCTGAATTTACCCTGGAAATTTTGCAATAGTTGCCTGTTGATTATGAATTCATTTTCCTATCCAGGATTTAAAAAAAAAAAAAAAAGTTTAGGTGGGTTTTCCTTCATTAGTTTTTCAATTGGGATTTTTAAAAGACAGAAAGACAGTTTGAGTTTTTCTCAAGTTGCCTCCATGGAAAAGGCATAGATGCCCTTGCCTTGCTGCGAGAGTTATGCTCAGTTACAAATGCTTAAGTTAGTCTTTCCTCTCCCTGAAATGCACTGGCAGGAGAGCACACCTCCACCTACCTTCAGCTACTCTGAGAGCCTCAATGGCTGTGAGACTGACACTTCTACCCACCCTGAATCTTACGCCACTGAAGATGTGGAAATGACACTTTGGAAGGGGCTCATCTAGGGGTGCATTTATACTTAACAACAACAACAAAAATTAATGAAGAAGCATTTATATACTTTTTATTATTAAAATGAAAGAAGACCACACCATACCATTTAAGAGGGGACTTAGAACGAGAGTTGTCTTTAGGCAAATGTTGCATCTGGGGCATACAGCCAAGCTCGTATTTTCCAAGAAGTGTTGTTGATGATTGACTTAGCTCTGTAGATGCAGCTTTTGCAAAGTACAGAGCAAACTGGGATACTAAACAGCACGAGTGCCAGTAGGAAACAAAACTGTATGTGTGAACTATACAGCGCTATCTAATTTTACTTGCTTTCAGAAGGGTCTTTCTTCATGTGGAAAGACAGAGTCAATGGGATTCCAAGCCGAGTGTGCCTACTGATGAGCTGTTACCATCTTAATTTAGCTGTTGAGGAAAAGTTGGCTTCAGAAATCTGCCCTAAACTTGGAATTTGAGAGTCCTGAAATTACGAGCTTTGCCGAGGGTCTTTTGCAAGGCCAGAAAAGGGCTGCCACTGAGCATTCTGGAAATCCCTTGTCCCAAGAGAGTGCAAGGCTAACTGGCTTATCTTGGCAGTGGTTTGGTTAGCCCCAGACAATTCTGTAACCATAGTGCACTAGACATAGGTTGAAAAGGGACACAGGAAATTCGGTAGTTCTCCAATTTAAGAAAAGTTCTTCCATAGAAGTCCTTTCTGTCAGTGGAAGCATGAGCATAACTGGGACTGGATGTGAGGGAGACTACTGGAAAGCACATGTTTACACTTAACTGTTTACACTGGCTTCCAGCTCTGCAAACACCCCAAACCATAGGACAACCAGTGGTTGCTGAGAGGTGATGACTGTGAGATTCCCCACTGCCTCAGCTGACCTCCATCACTGCAGATACACCTATTTCCCCTTCAGCTGGTGCTTACTGCCTCTGTAGTCCAAGGGAAGCTGAAGAACAAAATGTGCTGGTGTTCTGCTCATCTCTGGAGCCTGCTGTCAGACCCTGTAATGTCCTTTTCTTGAGCACAGCAGTCACAGCTGCTAGCAGGTGTGCTACCCTGCCGCTCTGCTGTGACCGTTTTGACTTTGAGGCTCGTGGTCCACCACTGCTCCTTAAAGACAGCAGAAGGCTGCCCTCAGAGTGTTCTAAAAATACATCTGTTCCATGCAGATATATTTGCTGTATCTGAATGTTCACACATTCACTCCCTTGAAGTTGAGGAATCAGGGCAAATGGAGGAAAAATAATTAGTTAACTTTAAAGGTTTGGGCTAATTTTTATGTAGTTATGCATGGGAACTCTTAGAACAACACTGTGCAGAATGATCCATGGGATAAGGAACAGTGACAGAGCTGTGAATTAATAGAAGGTTGACGAAGCTTCTCTGGAGCATAATCACAGGTAAACCCTTTGTCCTCTCAAATACCCCAGACAGACCAAGGACCCCACCCAAAGGGCCAATGGACTTGCCTATTTCACTGGTGAACAGTGAATTTAGCTTGAGGGGCGTGCTCTGAGCCTTCTTGGGCATGAATTGAACATGGCCCATGCCTTCCCTCAGCATGAGACACCAGCTTAAACTGTGTCCATATCAGCTCTGCCAGCCCTGATGAACAAGATGGACTGTACCAAGAAGGGCAGAGGGTTTAGATGACAACCCCTGCCTCATATGGCCAAGATGAACCTGCTTGAGGCATTGAAGGGGACAAGAGCTGAGAAAAGCTCTGATATCCTAGAAGAGTGGCCAAAAATGCAGTTACTCTGTGATGGCCTTGATTTTCCAGTCTTTGCATATAAACTGCAGATCTTTAAAAAGTACGTTTTTAGTTATTTTGCTACCTCAGTATTTCTCAGTTTCTATATATTTCTCAAGTGTTCACATCTGTGTGAGATCTGTATGAGGGTACTATACAATCTTACTGGAAATTTTCATTTTTTAAAGCCTTTCAGCACCCTTAATTGTCCACTTTATGTGCTGAGACCAAGACCCCTAAATGATACAAATTTGAAAAATGCCATTGTGCATCTTCTGCTGAAGGTTAAAAAAGACAGTTTTTCACTATAAACTATTCAATAAATATAATTACATACTAAAATTGCTATGATAGAATACTTCAATTAGGAAAAGGCAAATTTTCCATGCTTGTAAGACACAAACACTTTTACAGGAGCCAGAGGACTTTAAATCCTAAGTTCAAAACCTGTTTTGCAGCCCGAGTACCACTGAAATGAACCAAGAGTTTTAATACAAAGTGGATCCTAAATGTCACAAAGAGACTGTATCCTGGTCCCTCAAGCAGAATTGACTGACATTTAGCAGTTCTATTCTCTGATAGCTTAGGGGATTTTGTTTCCAAATCAAAGTACATGAAAAATAATTTCTTTTTAAATGTCTCATTACCCACCGAACACATTTAATAAGAAAACTAAACAACGCTTAACAGACGCCTTGCTGCTTCAGAGTTGAAATGGGTCTCCCTGGACCTCTCTGCTGTTGCAGTTGATCCAAGTGTGTCCTTCCTTTGTCAGGTGCAAGGTCTCTTAAAAAACCCAAGGTAGTCCTCACCCCCGAATGGGCAGCTCCATATCTCCAGGCCACCCACCCATACAGATCTATAGGGTAGCCACCCCAAAGTCTGGGGGGCCCAGTAGCTGTGGCACACCACTCAGGAACAGAGCATGCAGTTCTGGGGGATTTGTTCCACATTTCCATGCACCATCCTCTTGTTCTGTAGACACTGTGCCTCAGCAGTTGTAGTGTTAAATCACTCTGGGGAAAAAAGTGCTTCCTATTTTTTTTTTTCCTCCAATACTATCATGTCCCCCCTCGAGTCACATCCAGAATGAAAACTGAGCTGTTAAAAATAATTAATTTGTTTTATTCTTAGAGCACCTAGACAAATATTCAATAGAAATCACATTGCATGCAAAAACCATGCAACAATAATTGGGTTAAATAGGAAAATATCAAAATAATAATCCGTTTATAAAATGAGAAGCGTTGGGGTATTCTGCTTTCTTTTGATCAGGTCTAGGGAATGTACCTAGGAATACCATAGATAAATAAGAGCTACATAACATGGAGATTTGAATAAGCAATGCATGTTTTTTCAGCATGTTTTTTTGTTAGGTCTTTCGGCCAGACCATATTCCCATTTTAAGTACCAACTTCTTACTTAATTATTTGAAATAGAAACTGCATGATATGAATTACTTCCCCCAAAATTAAATCACCTTCAAGCCAGGTGTCTTACCTATAAGCAAGAATAATTACAGCAATATATATGCATGGGCATGTCATTCATTTTATTGAAGATTTAACCAAGCTTTCTATGCAACTAATGTATATCGTTGGCAGGGTTCAGGTAGGCATGTAATACTGGCTCTTTAGGAAGAGACCTGGATGGATTCCAGCTTACTTAACCCTTAAAATGTTACTGATTGGCAACAAGGAATTTGCATTCTCCATGTGCGCAAACTACATTAAAAAAATCTATTTGGTGAGAAAATTAGGATTGGATTTAAATTTCACAGCACACAAGAACAAAAAAAAAAAAAAAAGGCAAGAGCTACCATGGCTATGCTGGGGGGAAAACCTGTGTTCCTCCTTACCCTCAGCTGCTGGGGCCTGGGGGTGCTGATTTAGGCATGTGATCTGTGTGAGGGGTTATCAGGCCTTGTGCCCCACTGTCCATCCAGCTGGCCAACAAGTTGTTCTGCCAAGGCAGCACAGCCCAAAGACAGGGAAAAATGGGTTGGGTTTCTCGTTTTCCAGAAGCCAGAGCCCTGCAGCAGTCAATCTGCAAAGCAGAGGAGGACTCCCAGGGTTGAGCAAAAAGTTCCAGCCACCTCCAGGTCACAACCTACAAGAGCAAGGATATGCACTGTGGGGACAGAAGCAGGTCCAGAAGGGGGGAGTGATGCACAACCTATTTGCAGGGGTTGCCACCCTTTGTAAAGCATCCCTTTCCTTTCACGGTCCTACCTGTAACCAACCAGCCATTGCACTTGGCATCCTCAGGCCGTAGCCCCTCCCATCTCAGCAACATTTTTAAGGGTTAATGGTTCCTGTGGCTGCTCAGATCCCCCATACATACATATTTCTGTGTGTAAGACTTGCAGAAGGTCTGGTCACGTAGCTTAGAAAGGCGCTGCCCCTGTAACCGGGCACCCCTTTGTCCTGTTTCATGTGCAGACACAGAATAGCCATAATTCTCATATGTGATTTATTTTTGAGTACAGTGTATTGCTCTTTTCTGAAACTTTTTCCTTTTTCTTTCTTTTTTTGACAACTTTCTGCATTGGCAGAGCATCTTGGGATTGAATTTATGGGTATGGAACAATCATTCCTTTTAGCCTGCAGATTCTAGACCCTGAGAGATAAACCCCTTTTTATTTTTTTTTTCTCCACCTCCCCTTTTCAGTTCTTAACCAATTTCTTTATGCTTTAGAAGGGATCATACAGCTATAACAACAACCCTTGTCAAAGTGTTAGTGGAGATCAGTTCACTAAAATGCTAATAGTGATAGGATATAACAGACCCAACAAATTCTAGGAATTACTGAGGTAATCATAACATAGTGCACTATGTCCTGCTGTACAGTTTTGACATTTGCTTTGCTGAATTCTTCTAAGGTTGCCAGGTTTTGGAAGCACTGTAAGCATTAAGCAAAATGACTAAGCAGTATATTAAAAAAGATAAACTGTTATGGCCACTTAGAATTCTGCAAATTTGAAGTTTTGAGCTCTGGTTTCCAAGTAAAGTTTTGTGTCTAAACCCACATCTAGGTGTGTCAATCAGTTGCCTATACATATATGTGTAAATGATATCCATATATACATTCATTTCCAGGTCTGTAAATTAGAAGTGGGCTGGAAGTTATTTAGGAATTTAAGTAGACTAGACTCCAGATCCTCAAGTCAGCAAATATATTCAGTTATTTCTAATACTATGCTCATATTGCATCCAACCAAGAATATTGGCATTGTATTTTTACACAGCTTTAAATATAATAGAAATAAATCTTTTAAGTCCTCTTCATGAATAGACTGTACTTATCTGACTAGCTTTTCATATTTAGAGGTACAAATAATGCATCTCTTGAATAGGCTAACTTGAAATTCAGGTCACTTTTAGTTTGGAATCTCCTATAATTGTCAGTAAATGAAAACAAACAGATGGTGATGCTTTTCACACTGTTTTAGTTCGTGTTCTTATTAAAAATGTCCCCACAAAATGTCATTAGCTTAAGCTGTGAACTGTGGAAAACCCATTACAAGTCCTACTTTAAAAAACCACTCACAGCCCAGCTAATTTTTGTTATTATCACAAGGTAATATTAATTCTCACTCATAAGGAATAGATTGTAGTAGAAGATACATGGCTACATAAACGCATGAGTAGTTAAATTAAAATCCTTTAAAAAACTGACTTGCAAATTTTTTTTTTATATAAGATACAATCAGAGAAACAACCTCTTGGAATTAAATTATTTTTAAAATCCCCAGAGACCTGTAAGAAGAAAAACTTGACAACAGAGTAAATTTAAGACGATATAGATAACCAGTTATGTATAAATTAGAATGATGTGAAATTAATTGCATAATGTGCATGTTTAAAAAGCCACACATAGAGGGATTTAGTATCTTGACTTAAGTCCTAGGTTGATTTGATTTGATTTCCCCAGCATTCTGTATGTGAAAAAAAGTATGGAAATTATTTTTAATAATTAACAGGCCAAAACCTTTTCTAAATTTTCACTGCACATACAGTTCTTTACAGACTTCCTTGCAAGGCTGCTGTTAATTTTTTTCAGGGTGGTTTGATCAGCACATATTACTTAGTTGGGCTTCGTTAAGTGACTGTAAATATTAATACTGGTCAGAGAGAGAAAGCAGTTTTGGGGCAAGATGTGGTATAACCTCAAGGGCCCCACAGGAGTTCAGTCCCTGCTTTGCAACCTTCTTCTGGCCTGAAACAGCAAGTCCAAGTCTTGTCTTCAAGGCACCATGCCATCTGCAGAGTCGTGACCAGAATCCCTGACCCCTCCCAGCCACCAGCATCCCCCGCCGTCCACATTGGCCCCTGCAGGACACCAGGACATCCCCCAGTTGGCCCCTGCTGTCCCCTGTCAGCCAGAAACACGGCCAGGGTTACAGGACAGCTTGCTGTTTTGCTGGGCATGGCATGCCCAGAAAGCACGTGCCTTCCCAGGCAGACACTCCCCCAGAGAGTTTTGGGGAGGGCATGGCAGCACCACCATTCCCACACGCCGTGTCAAGCTGGATTGTCCGCAGAGCCTCCTTTTTAGGGGCACAGGAGGGAACAGAGGCACTGAACGCAGACCTGGGGGTTTTAATTTTCCATGCCCCTCAAGACCTACAGTCCCAGCAGACACGCTGGTGCAAGGAGCGTCGCTGCTCCCTTGCTGCATCCCCCCTCCCCTGCACGAGTGAGTGCCCACAAGTGTCCAACGCACAAGCAACAAGCCTCATCCCACTGGGCAACCTCAGGCAGGCCATCACCAGCCGGCATCCCAGCTCGCTTGGCAACAGCCTCAGAGTAGAGCAAACCTCCTGGAGTCAGTGCAATTTTTCCCTGAGTGTAAACAACCACGCAGAGTTTCCGCTGTTAATTAATCTTCTTCCTCCTCTCCCTTACCCTCCAAGAAAAACAGGTTGATATGTCATTACTCATTTTGCTTCCACAAGCTAACAGCTGACGGCATGACAGTAAAAAAAAAAAAAAAAAATTAAAAAAAAAATTAAAAAAAAAATTTTTTTTCAAAGCTTTTCAAATTAGCCCCTAAATTGCTTAGCTCAATTCTCCTGTTTCCTGTGACATCCTCGTAATACACCATTTCCATGGCTAACTAATAAGCGCTTTCAGAAGGGGCAAAAGTGGGAAGGGGATCAAGTGCCACTAACTAGGCGAGGAGTTATGCTGTATGAGAAATCCCTTCACACTCTGCTTCAACCTTTTTTTTTTTTGTCCCTAAGCATTTCTTCTCTCTGTTTTTTTCCAGTATCAAGCATGTTGTGCCAGGCCTGCAGTTGACTTTTCAACCTTTTAATCTTGTCTCTCCCTTTATTTCACCTTCCTCTCTTTCTCTTTGTCCTGATTTGGTTTGGTTGGAGTTTCAGCCCTTTCTTCCTTCCCTTTTTTTGACTTTCTGTTCTTGGAGTTAATTTTTTTTTTTCTTTAATACATTTTTGCAGCATTCTAGTTTTACCAAACTCACTTCTTCTCCCCCCGTTCCCCTCCTTGTTAATAATTAGAGCTATTAATTTTGTCTGACAGTGCTCATGACCTGTTTGCTGGTGTTTTGGTTTGCATTGGGTTTGGCTTGTAGGACAAATTTATTCCATAGTGCCGTGCATTGTATCAGAGAAATTAAGATTTCTTTTTGCCTTTTTGGTTTGTTGCATGGAGTATTTGCCACTTGCTCACAGCAACTTAAAGACTAATCTAGTCAAGCTCGGGAAACACCTTGAAGGGAAGACTGATCCCTCTTCAGTAAGGAGTATTTTCACCTGAACTGGTGTGTCATTTGTGACAGCACATCATTTGGACATAGACGCATGTGAGGCAGATGTGAGGGACCACTGTGCAGGTCTGTACCCCCTGGTGAATTGCCCCACAGACCTTATATGTTCATGTAAGCCCGTTCCAGCAGGAATAATGCTGGCTTTTATCCCAAAGGTAGCACAGAGCTGTGCAGCTCTAATTCACTCATTTATTTTTAATCACCTGCTGGTATTCCAACTGTGGTCAATACCACAGGTCAATACCAGACTGCTTGCTTGATCAAAAATAAGACTTGAGTAAAACTAGACATCCATTTTTGTCCTAAAAGCAGGAATGAAAATCCACATCTGTAAAGCGTCAACACAGAACGCGCCTCTGCTTCAGCACTCCTTGCACAACATTTCCCCAGCAGAGCGCTCGGCAGTGCTCTCTGCCAAGCATGAGCGAGGCTGGAAAGCATCAGTAGCTCCAACCCAAACATTACCAGTGCTACTAACACCTTTGTAACAGTGAAATATCTCCAATGAGTGAGATCGGTAACAAGTTGTCATCAGTGAGCAAGCTGCCACTCTAGATAGAGATTTCCTTTGTTGGTCACAAAGAGATGCAAGTAGAAACTCAACATTTCTCTCATACAAGGCACTGCTGGTTGTAGATTTTGCTGTGTTTTAGGAGAGTACTGGAGAAGGAGTATGAATTTTATGACCAGAGCTCAAAACGTATCTTCATTTCCATTGGTGATATAATTACAAGCCAAGCTCATGCCTCAAATGTAGAAGAATATTTTGAAATCTCTCCTGTAAAGACAGCTGAGACACAAATTGACATGGGAGCAGAGGGACATTGGATATGAAAACAATCCAAAAAAGATAATAAGAAAACAAATTTTTCTTAAGACCTGTAAAATTGGCTTTCATTCCAGCTGTCTTTGCAGAGTAAAACTTCCAAAACATTTGCAAATTCATGTTATTACCTTAGCACACTGAATTTTTATTTCCAGCAATCGCTGAGTGTATGTCAATTGTGAAGTTGTTGCTTAGATATTATTCTCGTTGACTTAAACAACAACGAAAAAAAAAGAGACCAAAAAACCCAACCAAACAACAACAACAAAAAAAAAACCAAACTGACTTTTGACTGTAATTGTACTCATCTCCACTATTGTGTTAAGAGTTTGTGGTGTAGCCCTGTTTTCCTTGCAGTTAATAATGAGTCTGCCTGAAGTGTGGTGGCCGTGTCTGTGTGGCTGTGTGAATTTGTGGAGTGGTTTGTAGCATGCCAACTGTTGATGGTGTGCTCCTTGCCTAGCCACCCTCCATGTTGTGACTTTCTCTTTTTTTGTCCCTTTCTAGAAGCTGAGGAATTGTACCAGAAACGGGTGCTGACCATAACTGGCATTTGCATTGCTCTTCTAGTAGTTGGCATCATGTGTGTGGTGGCCTACTGCAAAACCAAGTAAACTTTTCTCTTCTATTTTATATCTTTGGTTGTTGGTCAGGGCCTTCCCAGTTGACTGTAGCTTCTACTCCTCTGAGTGTAAGGTTGTATCTGGGTTTCTCCAGAGCTGAGCTGAAGAGACAGACTTGTAGCCAGGGTGCTCTGGTCCAAGCCAAACGAGTGTAGGTCTCCATGTCCATCAGCAGTGCAAAAATAAGGCAGGTATCTGAAAGGTTTCTCAGGGGTTTTTTTGGGGAGGGGTTTTGTTGGTTTTGGTTTTGGGTTTTTTTGTCTATCACCCATTCCAGCCAGTTTCCCCAACTGAAAAGGAACAAACTCCAAAACTGGAATCATGTTGCTTCCCAGCAGTAAATTTTACGTATCAGTCTAGTTTGTTTGTACTTGAGACAAGACTAATGGTGCTAAAAGTTACTGTGCACCAAAGGCCAAAGAAATGAACACAAAAGTGCTCTAAATGTAAAAGTAGGCACTTAAATGCATTCTGTGAGTCTCTAAATTACTCGGGGTGACTCTCAAACATGCATGAGGCACCCTGGACCATAAATTACACAGAACATCAGCAGAATTTCTGCTGCCAGAACTTCTGGCTGCTCTTATAAATCTCCCCACCAAAATACAGAAAACCCTTATCATAAATATTCCACATTTCTATAAACCTGATTTACTGTTTCAGGGTCTGATTGGCAGTTGGGTTGTTGTTTTTTGTTATAGGCCCCACCAATAATGGATGTGTTAAACGTGGGGGAGGAGAGAGATCATTTTTCCCTGTCAGTGAGAGTCACACACACACACAGAGCTGCTCCCACCCATAATTTTGTGCCAGTGGTCAGTGAAGAACAACTGAAACAGTTATAAAATAATCAGATCAATTACTGCTTTCAGAATGACAACTGGCAAGCCACAGCAGCTAAATTATATATTTCCTGATCCAGAGTTCACTGAAATCAGCCAAGACATCCCCATGAATTTCAACATAGTCAGTATGTTTGAAGTACAGTTTTCTATATAAAGAGCCCCCTGAACCCATCAAGGGTCTGGATGCTTTGTTTGCCCCAGACATCAGCAATCATCATGAGCCAAAAGCTGAATGTTTTCCAACACAGCGGATGAGAGCACCATGCCAGTTCATGGCCCTCCAAATGCAGCAGTGATGCCAAACAGCTATCTGTGAGGTGATTTCCATATGCTCTTTTCTCCAAATAGGGGAAAACCCAGAAACCCGGAGGAATCCTGACAATGGTGTTAAGAGAACAGTCTGAATAAAATGTAGTGGCTCAGATTTTGTTGGTCTCTTCACAAGAGATACTGCATGTATCAATTGCTAAGGCAGTATCTTCAGTCACTGAGTCTTAATTCAGAGGCAGTTTATTTGCAAGTCATTTACACTGAGGGAAAAGCTTCTTAGAGTAAGTGAAATACACACTAGCTTTCACATTATTCTTTCCTCTCAGCTTTGTGGAGTAATTTCTTTTTTCGCTTAGTGTCCTTTTCCTAGAGGACAAACGGCACAGATGGAAGCATGCAAATGCAAACACATGGGAAGTAACGCAGCTTCCAGGACAGATTCCCAGGATCTCAGTCCTGCAGATGATGAACTCAAACTCCTTCTAGAACCCACTTTCTCTACCATGTCAAAAAATTCAGGTTGTCCTCAGCTCCCAAGGTCTCCAGGGTCTCAGGGAGATGTGAAGTCAAGTTAAACCCTTGCTCGAGTGTCACTTTTCAGCCCAGTCAGGTCTTCGGGCAGCTGCTCAAATGTCTCCTGGCACTGCACTCTCCATCCACCTTAACCACTTTTGTGTCCTAAGGTGATGCCTGGCTATCCTCAAAGCAGAAAGTCCATATGGATCAGGGACTGCATCCTGCTGAGACAGGAGCATTTCCAAAGCAGCCATCTCTGCTTATGCCATTCATGTGGTGCAATATAAATTAAGCATTTTCCACTATCCAAGCACATACACACAGAGAAAATATGTAAAAATGCTCTGTGTGTCAAGTAATGTTTTCATTGTCTTTAAGCTTTCCTGGCTATCAAGCTTCAACATATTTATTGTTTTCCCTCACCCCTCCTATTTCTAAAGCTTAGAATAGTCCCCTTGAGTTCACAACAGGATTGAAAATTATTACATCTTACATTGTCCTACGCTGCCAACACTGTCTGCGTTCTGCATACAGCTTAGGGAATTGTATGTATTTTAGCTTTTGCCACAGCCAAGGTCACATGCACTCCACAGTGTTGGAGCCTGCATCCTCCATTCATTTCCATGGATTCAGTGGAACAACACAGTGGAAGTTCTCCAGCAAGAATCAAACAAACCTGGAGAATATTGATAAATTAAGTTTGAAATTGAATAGCTATTTCTCTAGTTTGGTTTGGGGTTTTTGGGGGGTTTTTTGTATGTGTACTGTTTATCGTGTTCTGCACAGCTTTCACAGCACCAGGTTTTACTGTGCTGTAAGTTTTGTTGCTGACAACTTGTAATGAATGATCTCCTGAAAATTTCTTCTGAGGAGAAACAGAAGGATTACAGGATCACAGAATCATTTAGGTTGGAAAATACCTCTAAGATCATGGAATCCAACCTTTGACTGCTCATCGCCATATCAACTAGACCATAGCACTAAGTGCCATATCCAATCATTTCTTGAATACCTCCAGAGATGATGACTCTACCATCTCCCTGAGCAGTCTATTCCAATACTTAACAACCCTTTCCATGAACAAATTTCTCCTGATGTCCAACCTGAACCACCCCTGGTGCAGCTTAAGGCTATTTCCTCTTGTCCTGTGACTTAGTTGCCTGGAATAAGACACCAACCCCAACCTTGCTAAAACCTTTCAGGTAGTTGTAGAGAGTGATAAGGTCACCCCTGAGCCTCTCTTTTCTCCAGACTAAACAACCCCAGCTCCCTCAGCCACTCCTCATATGATTTATATGTTAATAGCAAGTGGGGAAAGAGCAGCTGAGGACAGGACAAAGTAGAAGCATCAAAGTCAGCCAGAGACCATGTCATTAGTACACGGATGGTTCTACTAAATGCATTTGCAGCCATGGCATCCACCTGGTAATCAGTAGGTTCCAGAGTGAACCCGACGTTTCTAAAGCAAAACCTTCCAAAGCTGCCAGGGAGTCCGCAGGCTCAGGCATACCTCACACAGTCACTCACTTGGGATTTCTCAGGCTTCCTCTGCACCCTTCACTTCTTTAACACATCTATGTATTTGAAGTACACTGTTTAGGTAGGAGATGAATCCCACCAAAAAAACCATGTAACTGCCACGTCACAAAGATCGTTTTCCAGTGTCTACAAGCAAGGCCTGAGGCACAACCACCTTGGCTCCCTGTGGTGAACAGAGTGGTATAACCCAATGGGCTTCAGAAACCTTGTCTGGGTTGTTGCGAGGGCATAAAGGTCACTGGCTTAAAATCTCTCCCCTTTCCCTTCTGAGGGCAGAAAAGACCTTCTCCTGAGACAGAGCATTGCTTCCATTTTCCTCACACTTCTTCCTATCCCCCTGTGGCCTGCTGACTCCTGGAAGGGATCCCAAACTTCCTTCCCCCTCTGCAGGTCCCCACAGCTCCAGCTGCAATTAGAGCCGCGGTCTTCGGAGTTACCCTGAGCTCTTGCAGCAGCGTGGGGGAATTCTGGGGGGGTAAAAAAAAAAAAAAAAGTGATGTTATATTATTATCATCAACACTGATGTGCTGAAAGGCGCAGCTGCTTTCCCTCTGCCTACTAAAACTGTTTCCGTGTCCCGTGCACAGGAAGCAGAGGAAGAAGCTGCACGACCGCCTTCGGCAGAGCCTGCGCTCGGAAAGGAACAACGTGATGAACATGGCCAACGGGCCGCACCACCCCAACCCTCCGCCGGACAACGTCCAGCTGGTGAATGTAGGTTTCACTGCCCGTGTTTCAGCCTCAGGGGAGCCAGGGCCTCAGGGAAGCTCACCCTTCTAAAAAGCTTTTAAACCTCTACCTGTGGCAGGCTGCTGACTGATTTCTCTTGGCCTTCTCCACTCAGATGGAGAAACTACTACCGCTAACTATTGCCAACTTCTTCATCAGAGAATAGTATTTTTGGTGTATCTGGTGTGGGGGGGGTGCCTTTCCAGGTCTCTGTCTGTGAGGACTTCTTGTTAAATACGTATGTTGTTTATGGCTCGATTGGAATGCGAAACTTTGCTACTTTCCTCATTCATCTCCTCCTCCTTTGAGTCTAGATGGGGTATGTATGCAGAGGTGTACGTGAATGTGCTCAAGTGTGTCAGTATGGTTCCTGCATGCATTTAAGTGACAAAATTTGTGCTTTGGCACATGTAAAAGACTGCAATCTGGGGAGAAGGGATTGGAAATTGTGTCTACAAATGTGCTGTGAATTACAGTTTGTAAACCTGCGGTTTGTCTGGGTTTTTTCAGCAGTACGTTTCGAAAAATGTAATCTCCAGTGAGCATGTCATCGAGCGAGAAACAGAGACCTCATTTTCTACAAGCCACTACACCTCAACAACACACCACTCCGTGACAGTCACCCAGACACCTAGCCACAGGTATTGGAGGGGGAAGGCAAATGGCACCTGTAATACATGACCTGTTGCTGTTACAAAACCAAAAACCCCAGTCTGTTGTTACAAAACAACAGACTGGGAAAAATCTATGTTCCCTTCATAGTATTTTCATTTTAAGACTACCAATATTTGATGTCGTATCACCTAACTGATTATCTTTCTGTGAATCTACAAAGAGCTTTATTGTCTGAATGGCATTCCAACGCTGTCACTTTGAATTTTAGTATGTGCAAATTGCTGAATCAGTGGCAGCTGTGGTGACTGGAAAGCCCTCCTTCCCTCTCCTTTTATCCATACATGCAAAATCATCTTGCTGCGTGTGGATTCATGCAACTCAACAAAACTCTGCAGCCCCAGTTACCGACCCCATACATCCTGCGTGGCAGCAGAGCCGCTTCCTACCCCCTGGCTAAACTTGTGCTCCTGTGCCTTTGCCAGCAAAGCCCACCCTTAACTCCCTCCCTTTCTCCTTTCCTGGTTGCTGCTCTCCAGCTGGAGTAACGGCCACACCGAAAGCATCCTCTCTGAGAGCCACTCGGTGCTCGTCAGCTCCTCCATGGAGAACAGCAGGCACGCCAGCCCGGCAGGGCCGCGCGGCCGCCTCAACGGCATCGGCGGCCCACGGGAAGGCAGCAGCTTCCTCCGGCATGCGAGAGAGACCCCCGACTCCTACCGAGACTCTCCTCACAGCGAAAGGTAGGACACACCACCTCTCTGCTTTCGGCTGGGAAGGCCTGGTGTCCCCAGAGACGGTTTCCTGGGAGCACAGGAGGAAACCCAGGAGCGCAGCTGTTCCTGCAGGGCGTACATCTCCTCGTTTGTGGAGGGCCTGATAGCAGTTTGGAGTTTGCTAAAAGCACTTCTTCCCTTCTTGCCTCTGCTGGATTTATTCCTGTTAGCCAGTGGTTCACACTTGGAAAAGCTCCACTGGAGTAACTAGTCAGAAATTTCCACTGTAAAGTAAAAACAGATCTTTGCCCAATTATCCTTTTGTTAGAAGATGCAGATGACAAAACTGAGGGATTTTGTAGGGAGAAAGCAATGTACTGATCCATAGGAGGAAGGCACTGAGGACTTCTAAGCGGTATTAGAAATTATGCCACCACCTCCTTTCTGGAGAATTCCAGCTCCTAAACCTTTTATCTTCTTTAAAAATTCCCCTTGACCTTTTTATTAAGTAAAAGCAAGGAACACAAAGTGCAAGCCAGAAGTCATTATTAAATCAGGAGTAGTTAGAAATAAAGCTAGCCAGGAGTTTTCCAACAAAGTAATTTTTATTCTGAAAAGGCTGGTTCATCAGTTCCTGAGGTCTGCCTTGAAGTGAGTGAGTTGCAGGAAAACTTCTCCTGAAAAAATTCGTCTTAGGTTTAGGCTAGCACTTTGCCTCAAGAGCACGTGATGGCCTCAGAATAGTAAAAGAAATACTGAGAAGAAACAAGACATTTAAAGAGAGTTTTGCTCCCAGGAATCATAAGCAGAAGAAAAGGGAAACAGAGGGTTACCATACCAATTCTCTGAGCACTTCGAAATCACAAGGGATTTGATCTTGTGGGATGTCCATGATGTCAAAAATGCAGCCAGGCAATCCCTAAGGAGACTGAGCTGTGCAGGAGACAAACTGTGGTTTCTGGAAAAATGAATGTGCAAGCACAGCAAAAGCCATTTCAGGGGTACTTCCTCTGCCATACAAAAAACTGCTTAGCAGCAGGAAGAGGGCCCACTGAGCAAGGACCCTGAGTGTAGTGCCACTGAGGATATAGTAAACTAGCTCTCTCTCCTTGTAACTTATCCGTTATTTACCATGGAATTTAATTTCAAGATAGTTGGCTCACAGGATGTAAACAGCCATGGCCCCAGTCCAGCAGAGCACTTCGGCAAGATTAACTTTTAATCGTGCAAGTAGCCCCATCGAAATCAGCGAGATTACTCACACGGGCAGAGCTCAGCATGTGCTTAAGTGCTTTGCTGGATCAGGACCTGTCGCAGTAAATACCACATTGTCTCCAGCCTGGGAACTGTACGGGACGCCCGAGCACACGCCTGCCAGTGGCGAGTATTGCAGTTTAGTATATTTGGGCAACTGCATGTGAGAACTGAAGATCTCTCATGCTGTCTGCCTGCACTGCCTAGGACACCCAGAGCATCGTTCTGATATGAACCATTTAGATTTAATTTTTTTTTTTTTTGGAGGGCGGGGGGAGGTGGGAGGGCGGGGAGCAGCATATTCCTTTTCGTTTCGCTGAGAAGAAAGAAGGCGTTTCATCAATTATCATGTCTCCTGAAGTTGTGCTACGAGTGAAAAGCAGCAACATTTCTGTGATAATTCATCAGGCATTGTCAGCCTGATGTGTCTGAAGCAATCGAGAATTTGGAATGCAGGAGATGATAGTTCCCTGGCCATTAACTGCAGGCCTGATCTATTTTTAGCAAGCAGGAAATACACGGCCAATTGCTCCTGAGATGGATTGCTTGTATGTGTGTGTGTATAAGGGGGAGAATGAGAGTTACTTGCAATTAAAAATTACTCTGAAACCTAAAGGAATGTGAGAGCTGATGAATTACTTCCTGAAGCCATCAAATATGGTGTGAATTGGTAGATCAAGGCTGTACTCCTCCACCAGATGCCTCACAATTTTCAAATGAAATACAATAGACATTATCAGGGGTTCTTTTGCATCACCCCATCCATTTGTTGGATCCCATGCCCTGCCACCTATTTACAAAAGCAGAGAACCCAAGCAGTTATATCTTGGATGTCCTTAGCTGTCTTAGAGAAAATCAGAAAACACTATCTCTGTACGAAAGGCTGGGCTGTACGATGAAGTTGGCAGCACATAACTAGTTAATGCTGGGTGGGATGGCCGTGGATACGCTCAGATCCCCTTTCACTGAGTCAGCATAGTTAGTTGACCATGAAGCTGGATAAATCAATCACCTTTTAACCTTCTTTTCAGGATGGGCTAGAGCTGCACAACTCCAGCTCCTGTGCCTCAGATTGCAGACAGCATCTAGTTAGCAGTGCCCTGTTACGGTGTGGGGGGACACACCAGCAATGTGTGAATGCACAAACACTCCAGTAGGAGTAACCTGACGCTGCTGGAAGGGTGCACAGTATGTTGAGCACATCTAACTAACGTAATGTGTTAACAGAACCAGTTTAGCTAAAATCCAATATGTCATGAAGATACATATCCAACACTGTCCCAGGTGGTGAAGCAGAAAGGTTTCGTTTTTTTCAGACAATACCTATTTAAAAATGTGAAAGGGATGAAAAGCTCACTCATGGAAGGAGAAAGAATGACTTCATTCATCCAGTGCACAGATCTATTAATTGTTCTTTGCTCAAACACCTTGATTAATTCCCATGCATAATTTCAGTTTTGTTTTTCTTTCTCCTGTTCCTCAGTTGAGTTAAATCAATGTGCCTCTAGTGAATTTAATTTACTCTACTACACATCTGTTCAGAATCTGTCCTGTTTGCTTTTTTTTCCAATAACTCTGTTTAAATGAAGTGTAATATGTGCAACTGAGTCATAGCTTGGATAAGAAAGCTGGATTCAGATTTATTTTGGTAATTTCAGACTCAGATAAATAAATCGCTGATGAAAAATTAAATAAGTACATCAATTATAGAAACATAACTTTTCTCAGTGGGCCTGGGTATGAGATGGGGCTTAAGACTTTAACTTTGGACACAGCTTAAATTCAAGTAGGTGAATTTAAGACAAGAATAAAAGCAAAACCAAACTGTGCAAGGTTTCATGCTGGGCACTGTGCATTCGATCAAGGGGTTTCAGGCAGATCCTCAGGCCTGAATACACATGACCCCACTGCATCTCTATTGATCCAAACCAGTTGAGAGTCTCACAATTTTTGTCCTCTTTCTTTGGAACAAACTCTGAAATGGCACCTGAGCTGCATTTTCAGAAATCACTTTTGATCACTACCCTTCCCACAGCAACAGGGACAAATCTTGCAGAGATATCATGAAGACTAGGCCAGAAAATCCTGTCTTTTAGCATTTGTTCCCATATGAGGACAAATGATACTCCATGTTTCTTTACAGTCAGACCTACTAGCCAAGGTAACTAGCACCCAAGGAGTGGAGTAGAACAAAGCTGCTGGGATGGTGCTGCAAATACTTCTCTGAATGCCCCCATTGATTAAAAGTAGCAGAATCTGGCTCTAGATTTTATCCAAACTTTACTTTCCTCCTTTCCTCCTTAGCCTGAGACAGTCTGGTTGCCAGAAGAGGATGAAGCCCCAAGAGGACTGCTCTTTGGTTCCCATCCTTTCTCTCCTCCTGTCTGTTCACATGCACCCCAAGTTCTGGTCAAATCCTTCCAGAAGTGCAGAAGCCCTTTTCCCTTTTGAGAAAATACTTGCAAATGCATTTTGTTTCTGGCAGCCCCTCTGTCTCTGAATCCCATTCCTGGAATAATTCCAGAAAGTTATTCTGGCAAATAATTTACAGCATCTCCATGGCTCTTCTGAGGCAAACAGATCTGGGGGCTTTGCTGTGCTCCTCCTGCTCTTAAATGTTTTTGTCTGGCGTCCCAGAAGTCAGCAGTTTATAGGATTAATAGCAACAGGAAAGTTTCCCTGGTAGCCCCTGTGTGAGGATGCTGGGGATCTTAAGAGATCCCTGCTGTTTCTCTCCCAGTCCACACGAGCTGCTGTGTTCACCACTGCTCCTGTGCTTGCAACCTTTCCCCATCTCTTTTCTTCAGGTATGTCTCAGCTATGACCACACCAGCTCGCATGTCACCCGTCGATTTTCACACTCCAACTTCTCCCAAGTCCCGCCCCTCCACAATGTCACCACCGGCTTCCAGCTTGACCGTCTCCATCCCCTCAGTGGCGGTGAGTCCCTTCATCGAAGAGGAGCGGCCACTGCTCCTGGTGACCCCACTGCAGCTACATGAGAAGTATGACCACCACCTTCAGCAATTCAACTCCTTCCACCACAATGCCACCCACGAGAGCAACAGCCTGCCACCGAGCCCTCTGCGGATAGTGGAGGATGAGGAGTACGAGACCACGCAGGAGTATGAACCAGCACAGGAGCCTCCAAAGAAACTCACCAACAACCGGAGGGTCAAAAGAACAAAGCCCAACGGCCACATTTCCAGCAGGGTGGAAGTGGACTCCGACACGAGCTCTGAGAGCAGCAGCTCTGAGACCGAGACCGAAGACGAAAGAATAGGCGAGGATACACCGTTCCTGAGCATACCGAACCCCGGGGCGGCCGGTCTGGAGCCGGCCACGGCCTTCCGGCTGGCTGAGAGCAGGACTAACCCGGCAAACCGCTTCTCCACGCCAGAAGACTTGCAAGCAAGGTTGTCCAGTGCGATAGCTAACCAAGACCCTATTGCTGTATAAAACATAAAACACATAGATTCACATGTAAAACTTTATTTTATATAATGAAGTATTCCACCTTTAAATTAAACGATTTATTTTATTTTAGCAATTCCGCTGATAGAAAACAGGAGAGGGAAAAAAAAAAAAACTTTTATAAATTAAATATACGTATGTACAAATGTGTTATGTGCCATATGTAGCAATTTTTTACAGTATTTCAAAAATGGGGAAAGATATCAATGGTGCCTTTATGTTATGTTAAGTTGAGAGCAAGTTTTGTACAGTTACAATGATGGCTGTCCCATAGTATTTTGCAAAACCTTTTAGCCCTCAGTTGTCCTAGCTTTTTTGTGCACTGCATTATGACTGGATGTATGATTTGCAAGAATTGCAGAAGTCCCTCTGGTCGCTTGCTGTAGAATCCCCAGATCAGAAAGCCCTGTAATGGCACTCCAACTCTACCCCAACAGAAAATTACACATACACACACACACACACACTCTCTGAAAAAAAAAAAAAAAAAAAAAAAAAGAAAAAAAAAGAAAGAAAAAAAAAAGAAAAGGAAAAAAAAAGAAAAAAATGGGAAAAAAAATACAACAAAAAATTTTTTCTTCTATGAGAACTTTTATTTGCTTCCTGTGTATGAGATGAGTTTTGTCTGCTCTCTGCCAGCCAAAAGGTTTGCTTCTTTGAGCACTGGGATAATAGTAGATCCAACAGCATGCTACTATTAATTACAGCAGGATAACGAAAAACATACAAACAAAAATAAAGCACCAACCTGCATTAAATAATGTTACTTATAGAAAGAAAGTAATACTGTGATTTTAAACCAAATATATTATTAATCAGAGGTCAGCTTGTAATCACTAGGAGCTGCCATTTCATTATTTTCCAGATATTAATTGTTCTAGTTATCCCTTAGGAAATGGGTTTAAGTTAACTGAGGCTTTGAACCCAATACTCTATTTAAAAAAAAAAAAAAAAAAAAAAAAAAAAAGAGGAAAAAAATTAAAAAAAATTTATATAATAGCAGATATCTGTAACCAAGCAAGGAAGAGATCTAGCTGGAAAACAAATGCCACTAATAAAAGTGCAATCAGTTTTCACCTCTAGTTTTTAATGTTGCTTTCTAATACACAATTTATTCTTTTGTTCCCCCTCAATTTTTCTTCCCTTTTTTTCTCCTCCTCAGAAAGAACCCTGACAAGCTTCTAGCAATACATTGTTAGAGTTGCTGTTGGAGTAAGGATTGCTCTTGGACACAGAAATGCTTTCCAAGGAAGAACCTGATTTGCTGAATGGCTAAAAAGCATAGGCACATAGGAAGGACATAGCAGATGTATGGAGTTTATTTCTACTTGCCTTTATTTACTCCATTACTTGGGTAGAGAGATGCAAGGGTGATGCAAAGGCCAGTTACGAAGGCAAGCACACCATGTGGGTTACAGCCATAGTAACACATGTGTGGGTGTTTGATATCAGTGTTCAGCCAGTGACACTCTTGAAGTCTTTGACTAGTAATGAACAAGGATGCTGTCAGTGCTGGAGCAGTTGCATCCATCCAGACAGAAGCAAATGGCCTCTTTTGCACTGAATTCCTATCAGTTTAGTCAGGGTCACTCTGCCTCTTCTATTCTTTTGATATTTTGTTGTGTGTTCAGTTGGCACAGCATTGACTCAGGACTGATGTGGAAAACAAATGCTTTTCCTAGACTCTGGGGATTCTGAAAATGAGAACATATGTTTTACAGGTATAACTGAGCTCAAAATAAGAGCCATGTCAAGAAAAAAAGAATTTCAGCCAAACTACACTCATCCTTTGGGCCACATTCTGGTCCCAGTTAAATGAAGACAAGTACGTCAAAGAAATTTTGTGAGATACAAACCTGAGGAACTAAAGTCCCGACTCCTTAAATTGTTCAAGCATATGCTTATGCTAATCCCAGCAGAAGTTACCTTGAGCATGTGCTAGACTCCCATTTACACAACCAGCACATGCACAAAGTTAAGCATGTGCTTAAGAGTTTTGATGAACAAAGCATGTCCTATTGATTTGAGATCTGAAAGCAGAGTATAGTAAAAGAAGCTCTTTGCCAGGATGAAAAAAATCAGTGAGTAGCTCACTGTATAAATAACTGCATCATATTACTAAGAACATGGGTGAGTCTACGTGAACAGATTCAGTAGAAGAAGAATAAAAAAAACCCCTTGGTATAGGAAGAAGATGATAAAGTTGTAGGATGTTGGTATGCTAGGAAACTAGCACAGCTTTGGGCTATGTGGTGGCTGAAATGGCCCTGCTTATTTGAGAAGTCTATGGGAGATGGCAAATACATAGTCTGGACTTAAGTCCCCTTTGCCATGTTTCCCTAGCTGGCATGTACTTGAACACACTTTGCCTTTGCAGACTGAAACAAAAGCTCCCCTACAAATTCTAGACAGCATAGTCTCATTTTCATCCCTTTAGTCATGCCTATTTATCTGCAATCCCATGCAGCAGAACACCCACCTCCCCAGTAATTTTTCAACTCAGTATTTCAGAGGGCCAAGTGGGCTTTCCTGATGAAGGCCACAAGTTTCCAAAGGATTTGCCTGTTGAGTTTCCAGAGGCACCGGAAAATCTGTCCTTTCAGGAAGGCCTCTGATACTGCAAAGACCTTGCAGGACAGATGAGAGACAAAAAGTATGGCAGAGAAACAAGAGATTTCCCCAAAAATTTCCCATCTTAGTGGCAGAATAGAGAGTATAACACAGGTCTTTTGTAAACTTCTTCAGTACAGATCACCCACAAGGCCAGCTCTCACTGAAGTGTCTGTTAATAGCCCAGATAGATTAATCAGGATGGAAAGGGAACATGCCTTGAAGTGGAGTAGATTATCCGACTACTAACACTGTTATTATAGTGGGCCAGTACAAAATGAAGGAGCAATTCCCTATTTGGGAGCTGTGCCTGTGAGATTTATTTGGTGCAGGTCTAGGGAAAAATGTCACACCTCTTCTGCTGCAGTGCCTCAAAGTCAAAGCGGTGTGCAGTTCCCACTCTTCCTCCCTCCTGGGACATACACAGTGTGTTATAGGGTAAGCATGAAATTAGGCTGGAGGCTTCACATAGACCTAAGAACAAGAAAATACAATTGGGGATATGGCTGCCTAAGCCCTTAGGTCTTTGTGGAGAACCCAACCTTACAGCACAATTCATGCAGCAGCAAGTTATGGGGAATCGCCCTAGCTTGGCACTCACAGAACTGGGAGAAGGATGCAGCCCCCCACCTCTCAACTCGTGTTTTAACTCTGAGAGGGTGTTTCACATCAGTCAAGTCCACACTCAGAAGTTAGCAAGTCTACCTGGCCACAGATGCTGCTGGCAGGCTGCAGCCGTCTCCTGCTGGCCAAGGGGCTGGAGGCTGCAGCAGCACGGGGCAGAGCCAGCAAGTGCCTACAGGAAAGGCCAGCTCCCCTGCTGGGGATATTTGCTTCATTACCCAGACCTCTGAGCTAGGCAGTCCCAACACCCTTGAGCCATCACTGTGTAACCCTTGCCAGCTTTTTTGGCTGAAGGTCACAGCAAGAAGAAACATTCTTCGAAGAGGGGCAAAATATTCCAGTGGTGGCAGAGTTGTTGAGATTGTCCTGATTTATTTCCATGTTATTTAATTTTGGCCTTGAGTTTTCCCTCTGTATGTGTTTATATGCAGGACTTATTCCAGGATAAAAGGCTTCTTTAAGGGATGTATAGCTGGCATACGTTGTGCACAACCTGGGTACGGCCTGCCTGTTCAGGGGGTGTAAATCATTACAGCTCCACAGAGGTTCTCATGTAAGAGAGAAAAGCCTACTTCCTCCTCTTGACTCAGTTATTCTCTTCCTCACTTGAGCCACACCAACACCCCCAGGTTTTAAGAGATCAATCACTGCCTTTATCAGGGAAACAGGAAAGCTCCTTCTTTCCAGTCCTCCAAAACAACAATGCTGCATCTCCCTGCTTCTCTCACACACATTGCAAGCAGTTTCCTGAGCATCCAGGATAGCAAACTTGTGTCTCCTCAAAGGACACACTTCTCAGCCTGTTGAGCACTTCTTGGCCCTGCAGTGTGGCTACTTACCATCAGCTGGGACTTACTGCTAGTAAGAAACAAAAAAAGCACCTACGAAATGCTGCAGAGAAGGGCAGACAAAGAACATGGCCAATTACCATCATTTGTAATTCTCTATTCTACTGTAAATACATCTTGTACATACATGGATGTTTTCATTATTTACTGTCTTTATGAATTATATGTTAAATGAGAAGCTCTTAGTTTATTGTGTAACACTGTAAATAACATAACGTCCTTTATTATTTATGCATAGGCATCTAACACGCAGAGAAAGTTATCCTCATATTATTTTAAGATATATGTCAAAAATATGTTGCATTTTTCCTTTTGCTTTGAAAAAATTGTAATATATCCTCTTTTTCCCCTCTTTTCCTTTAAAAAAAAAAAAAGAATGCTAATTTATTGTTCAGGAGAGAAAGGGGATGTAACTGAAAGGCAAACTGTTCAAAGAACATGCTATGGAAGCCACAAGCTACTGATAAACTAAAGAATTTATTACCCCAAATACAGCAATAAGTAATTGTTGATTTATTAAGGTTTTGTTATTCATTTTCAGTAAAAGAGGTGCTGGATTAAATTGTTATGTGTGGTCCTGGCCCAGCTGCTCAGCAGACTGTGTCAGGTCAGTAGCTACCATCTTTGTGTATCCAAACATCGTTGTAAAGGTCTTTTTCTGTCATTGTGGGCCACTGTTCTTGAGATTTCTGACTCATCCCTGCAGAGGTCTCTGGCAGACCCTCTTGTTCCTATGTACAATATTTTTAGTTTCTGAAGTTAGAATTATTAGCTCAACCCTGAGCATTACTACTTAGGGTGGATGGGGTTGGGGGGAGGGTGGGGGGACTTGCAGAAACAACACAGTCTTGGGACTGTGGGAGCCTGCTCTGCAAAAATGTCACCTCACTGTTCAGCAGCAGTCAATAAAGCAAATCATGCTGGGAATTATTAGATAGCGTCACCATGCCACTATCCAAATTGTGCAGGTCTTAAGTACAATACGTGGTGCTGGCCTTCTTGTCTCAGAATAGAAAAGAGTTTAATAGGCAAGGGTTTGGAGGCCAACCCAGGTGAATAGATATCGGGAGTTAGTGGGGTCTGGGGAGCACAGGGTAGGCTGGATCTCATTAGTCTAGAAGAAAGGACAGCTGGGGGAAGAGATCACAAAAGTCTGTGGAAACATGATTATCTTGTAGAAGGTAGGGAAGGACTGGATGTTTAGTACCTCTTCCAATAAAAGAATGGAGTTATCAATCAAAACTACTGGGCACCAAATTCATAAAGATGTGACTCTTCATGTAAGGTGTAGGGAACTTGGAGAACTACTTGCTGCAAGAGGTTGTGGATCATAAAAGTTTCCGTGGATTCATGGTGAGGGCCAGATCTTAGACATTAGTCCAGTGAAAATTACTAAATCCATGGAAACCACATCAGATGTGGGAAATAACTCAAAACATGTGGAGGTTTTATAAGGTGGAAATGTCTTGTGTGTTTTCCCTGCTCTTGCTCTTCTCCAGCTATCTGGCACACTTGGAAAGGAGGAGAATAGATATCTAATCTGGCTGTGCTTACATGATATAAGTACGTAAAGTCATTTGCTGTTAAGAAGTATTAAATAAGACAAAGAAAGCTAGGAGTGAGCAGAGGAGGGAGGAATGCAGTAAAGACATCTTGGATGTGTTTCACATTCATTTGTTCCCTGGGCTAGTAGAAACATGTAGGTCAGATTCCTTTCACCTACCTACCTAGTGGCAATGAATGAGATGCCAAACTGGGAATGGATGGAGAAATTGAAGGATAGAGGAATGGAGGGATGGGTGAATGGAGGAACAGAGGGATAAAAGATGGGAGGGAGGGAGGGGTCAAGGGGTTTCTGTCACCCTCCCTCCTGGTGGGCCAGTCAAATATCAGGACAAGTTCGGTTTCCCTCAGACAACTTCCCTGTCTTTCTGTTTTATATGGAGGGATCTTGTAGCAGTGAGTCTGGATGCTTAGGCTGTTTGCCTCACCTCAATGTCTTAGCTGGGTAGGGCCTTGTCACCTCAGAGCAAGCATGAGGCACATCCTATGACACAGTGCTACTACTGAGGATAGGATGGCCTTCTTATTTTCATTGCATGCTGTTGAAATGGACTGCTCTGAGAAACCAGACCCCTTCTCAGGCATCCCCACTGGCCTTTCATGGGTGGGAGTGGAGGTAGAGAATTTCTGAAGCAATTAAGTACCAAAAGAACCAGTCAGAGTTAAGAGGACTAAGGACCTGATGTCACATTTGATACAGACCAGAGAGAGCTTTAGGGAACACATCCTTGTGTGTCCCAAATGGCTGTCCTTGAAAAAATTGTTTGTCACTCCATGCTGTCTTTATCCTGTTGGCTTTCTCTGCCAAGCTTCTGCCGCTGCATTTCTCCACAAGGTCTGGAAGCAGATGGCGTCAGGAAAATCAAGCAAATCCTTCTCATTCCTGCAGCCCACAGCTGGGTATGCTCTTAGCGTGCCAACTCCACCCAGTTATGAGCACATGATTTGGCTAATGCATTCCCCAAGTTAATTCTCTCTGTCTCGGTTACAACTGATGGGAAGAAAATTATATCAAATGCCTTGAGGTGTTGCAGCTAGTCACTGATGGTTAACCTGTGTAGCCCAAGTAAAGCAACACGGACTGTGCTCAGATTAGGAGCCTGAGAACACCTCTTTAGGGGCAATAGACCCTTAACACTGGCACTGGGAACCCTTCAGGGCTAAAACTCATTTTACCTTGGAAAAAAAAAAAAAAAAAAAAAAGACATAGAGCCTTGGGGATTTCTGATCCCAGAGTGCTTTTTCTGTGTGATGGCATGACCTTTCACTGGAGTAATTTCAGAGTAGCCCTCATTAGAAAGGTTCTACTGATTGCGAAGTTATTCCCCTTGCCTCCAGACTTAAGTCTGGCAGGACAAATGCCAAGAATCACTCGTATGCTCCTGGTGACCCCACCCATCAAGACAAGGACTAAAGGAAAGTTCCACGTCTCCCATCAAGGAAGAGGTGGAACAAGATCAGGCCCATGCACATCTAGGAAGGCTGTCATGTCACTGGGGTTGGGGCAGCATGGTGCTCCCCACCTGAGGGTGTTTGGAGCACTGTTCTTTCTAAGCACTGGCAGGGACTGTCAGAACCTGAGACAAAGCCATCAGTGTGTGAACAGAATGAATTTCCTGGAAAGCTAGGCCTTACTCTCTAAGGTTTTAAGTCCAGAAGGTAACAAAGCCCCAACTTCAGTTGGAAGCTGGACTTCTAACGTAAATGGCAGCTGCTAAGTTTCCACTTTGTTTCTTCCCCTTGGGGATAGCAAGAGCGTTCCCTGCACTGGAAGCAATGCCTTAGGAACTCAAGAGAGAGGAACCCTGGCAGCAGTGCACAGAAAACACCTGAAATAAGGCCAGCTCTTTTGATGACAGCAACAGAGGAGGTATCAAGGGAGTCTTTGTAAGGTTATATGCTCATCGGTTGGTAGGGAGTACAATGATTGTTAACAACTGATTAAGTCATTACTCTGGTAATGGCCAATTTGGAGCCGTGCTTCAGAAGCCAGATATTGTGTGGGAGGTATTTTAACTTACCCTGCACATTACTGCATCAGTTGGGTTATGCATTCTGTATGTGTATACACACACATACACTCTCTCAATTTCCTGTAATGATTTCCTGATGTTCAGTGCATGCTCAGTGGCAGGAAAGGAAAAATGCCACAACAAGGCCATTTAGCAGCTGCGAAACTGCCTGCATGCAAGAGTAAACACCTTTTGCACCTCAGAGAGGAAAAACTGAGGGTGGTATTTGTCCTGTACAGCTGTGCAGATATAGAAAAGGAATGCCTCTGTCCTTCCCAGTTGAACAGGCTGGACCACAGATTGCAGGAGTTTTCACAGGGCCACAGCTGAGAAGGGACTGACAAGGTGAAAGAGTTAGGGGACTCAGACTAGAGTGAAGAGTGGTCATGTGCCTCTCATTGTATTGAAATAACCCTAGACACAATGGATTCAATCCCAAACAGAAAAGGAGTCACTAAAGATGCCAAAGTGGTGGGCCCTGGCCCCTTTATATGTGGCAAAGAGAGACAATCTTCAAAGAGCAATTCTTGTCACAAGTTCTTGTTCTCGGGAGGTTCCCATCTTGTGCTCCCCTTTCTCATCCTGAAGGCCCCAAATCTGAGGGTGAGGTGAGTGAGATCCCCCCCAGAAAAGGACAGTAATCTGCTCAATGTATATGAGAAGGCTCAGATACCTGCATGGAGTACAGCATCATTCCTAGAAAAATCAGTGGGAACTATCAGAGTAGTGAAAGCAGTAATCCAGAAATTAGGAAATAAAAGCCACTTACATGAATGCCACAGTATAAATCCAGGAACCTGCAATTCAGCATCCAGTTTTAAAATCATCCCCTAGACAAATCTCTAGAAAACAAAAAAATGCCACCCTAGTAATACATTAACCACATTAATCATTAAAAAAAAAAAAAAGAAGCCCTGTAATTTTGTCAATTTAGCATCTGCACACACCATCTTACCATATCCAACTAAAACATGCAGTATTTATCTGATGGCTAATGGTTATGAAATAAAGCTCAAAGTAATAAAACTCCAAATAAGAACTGGCAGACTACAGCTATCTTGTTTCTGTTTTATAATCAACCTTTCAGTTGTTATGGTACTGATTTACACATTCGGGGTCATATCAATGAAATAACAGAAAGGAACTAATATACTTTACTCCCTATTACTTTCATTTCCAAGAACCAGCTTCCTTCAAATAGAACTTACTCTGATTACTGAAGTCCAGATAACAGAAGTTCAGGTGACATAAAGTCCAGGTAATAGGATCATATTCACAATGATTGTACCCTCAAGCTTTTTATTTGACTGCCCAGTACAGTCCAAAGCTTATCTGAATATTTCTGTCCCTCTCATAATTAGTAAAAATGGCTATTCTAGGACTACAGATGTGGCAACCAGGATATTTTTAGTAATTCTGACTTGCTGCCTTACAACTCCATTTGACTGACAAGAGCTGTACTGGCTCAGCAGCAGAACAGCTCTCAGCTTGGTCCCAAGGTGACTGCACTAGGCCCTCAGCTGCAGGAGAACAGCATGTTTGCTGCTCCTTCTTTGGTATTTCACCAGGATCACATCATCAGCGTCAGCACATAGTTCCAGGCTGCTCTTTGGAAAGATTTTTCGTTGAAGACCTGAAAGAACTGAGTTTCTCTGTTTCCCAGCTTCTTCTCACATGAATGCCCTACATGTTTCAGATTTAAGGAAATTAAAGGAGCTTTTGAGGGGGAGCAGAACAAAGATGATGCTATGAGCTTCTGTCTCAAGAGGAAAAGATAAAGAGCTTTGCCAGAGAGCCCATATTTATCTGTGTCACACACACTGAGCAAGGTATTTTTCATCTCAGGCTGAGGCAATGGGAGATGTGCCATACTGCCTGTGGAATTTGGTGATGCTGAACTTCAGAGCAGAGGCTCAAAACCTCTTGCATTTAAGAACGGTAACCCAGAGATGTGGCTGCCCTGGGAGTTCCAGAAGCATTTCAGAGAATTGCTCTAGAAAGGCGGCTGTCTGAGCTCATTGTAGCACATCGTGCCCTCGGCATCTGTGGAGGTTCCTAAGATCAACCATTCTTGGCTTCAACTTGCTTTCAGGGATGTTAAGTGCTCCCACTCTGGCAGGGAAGCCCCTTGGCTTGAAGACACCTAGCCAGGGCTTGCTTTCTGAAGCCCGTTAGGACACTCAGGGTATCAGCAGTGCTCCTTCCCACCCAGGGGAGGAAACAAGTGCACAGCTTGACTTTCTGTGTGTTGGCCTGAAACCAGACACTGTGTCAATACTCTGCTATGACAGCTATGGTAGTGAGAATTACTTCATAACAGAGGCATCCAGTGACTTAGAAGCTGAACAATCTCTTGCACCAAAGAGCAAATGTTTTCCCTGATTTCTTGGAGGGGTGGTGGGTGGGAGCTGAGATGGTGGAGTGCAGTAGAAACTTGCAGCCTGCAGGCTGGGTGAGCATCCTTCAAAACCTGGGGATACAGACAGCACTCAACAGCAGATGCTCCCACCCACTACCAACATGGAACCCCAACTTGCAACTGGCAATAAGTGCACTGAAGGTTCTCCAGGAGGGGAGGGTGGCTGGTTTAAGTGGTGCTATTGATATGTGGTTGACATTGAGACAGGGTCACACCATTCTTGTACATACAAGCAGTGACATGAGCGTCCAGTGATTACAGTTCTGTAACCAGCTGTCCCATCCACCTCTAGACAAACATTATACATATGTGGCAAGAACCTGCTGGATATTATCAACTGCCCATGCAAGGTGCTTATTTTGCCTAAACTAACTGCACTCATCCAAACGTACACTCTCCCAGAGGACTCCTTAGTAACTCTAAAATGTCTGATCTTTGCAATCCCCTCTAAGGGGACAGGATATCCCCTTTGCTGCTGATAGATAGCAAAATAGCAGTGAGAGCAGAGAGGCAAACATACACCAAATATAACCTTGTAATAGCTGAGGTTTGTTACCATACTTTTGGGTTCGCTCTCAGCTAATTTGCAGTAAGTTTCAGCTGCAAATGGCATATATTTGGTGTATGAAATACCAATCCCATGCAATGTCCCAGTTCTTGGAAGGACCCCAGAACAAAAATCTATCTGAGCCTGGTGCCATAGGAAAGGAGAGGAAAACATCTCTGGTGGCAGCTGAAATGCAACAAAGCTGCTTGTAGTGGTCAGTGATACAGTTTGATCTTGTTCCAGGATGGCTGGTCCTCAGAAGATGACATCCAGGGTGTATGTGAAATAGGCCGTAACCAGCTTCAAAGACAGGGAAGCAAATATCATCTCTCTGCTGCTCCCATTTTCTATGGACTGCCTAGTAATTCTGCTTGGATATCTATCTACACATGGAATAGGGCAAGAAGTTGGCCAGCAGTGAGTATTTCGGACCTTTGGAAAAGAAAGGAAGGAGCAGTTCCAAAGGAGTGGCGTTAAATTTCGTGTTGGTGGAGTAGCAACTCAGGGTATCTGTAACACTTAGGAATGCCACACCCCTGTTAAGGGCAGCACCACAGGCCTTTGGACTGAATAGCTGGGACTTGCAGTTCTGTTTTGAGCCCACACATGGTCCCCATTCCCTTAACACTGACATGCTGCAGCCAGAATGCAGTGGCGAGTGGCAGGACAAGCACTTTGATTAGTTCACAGACAGCTAATTCTACTCTAGAAAGGCTGTGCACAGCAGTTACCTCTCGTGTCTCCTGTGTTTACAGGAATACTCGCCTGGTCATCAAGACCAAGTACTAAGAGGAGGAAGAAAACCAATGGGACCAGTGAATTAACCAGCCTCATAAGATAGCAGGTTGCTGTTGAAGAAGCAGCAGTTTTCTTCTCCATTGAAAACAATCATACACAGTGGCTAGGAGCAGCGTGATTGAAGTTATCCCTGTGCAATCAGGACTGGAGGAAAATAAATGTGAAACAAGAAGTGACATTTAGTCAGTAAGGGAGCCTGCTGCATGGCAGGGAATGGTCTGCTTCCCTCCTGGCACTGAGACCCTCCACAACAGAAACAATATGACAATGAATTTCTGCAATTAAGCAGTACACTTCCAGAAACTGAAGCCTTTCCTCATTTCCTCTAAGAACGGAGGAAGAGTGACTTAACTGATTGGCTGGGACATGTTTATGTGGCCATCCACTGACAACTCCCAGGCACTGTGCCAATCAGCAGGCCTGTGTGATGTCTGAATTATGGTCATTAGAGCATTCTTTCATCCTTGCTGCTCTGACTTTTCCACCTTCACAGCAGAAACATACCCATCTTCCGAAACACCACATAAGTGCTGAGCCTAATCCCCAGTCTGATATTTGTCCCAGTTACCCTGTGTCTAAGTCTACGCTGACCTCAGAGGAAAAAAAACCGAAATGGCTGGAAAACAAAACACTTTCTTACACTCAGATGGGGACAAGGATTTGCCTTATGATCTTTTGCCCACCTAATTCTTCTACTCCGAGGTCACATCTTAACTCCCAGTTGCAACTGGGGCACCTTCCCATAAGAACATTGTTCCAGTCTTGCCACACTTCATCCAGCTGATACAGCTTGTTGCTTGTGGAGGACCGAGATTTTTGTTTCCTCTGAGGGTTAAGTGGTAGCAGGTCAGGTAACATCTTCTTGCTGCCCCACAAGACCCTGAGAGTGGGTAAACTGGGTTTCTCTGAGGTGTGCTGTGGACTTCTTGTAAAGATGGACAGCACTTACCAGGTTGCACTTTGACATTGCCGGTTTTGCTACTTCTTGAGTGGCCACAGCCTTTAGGATGGTCCCTGCCTCAGCCCAGAGGCTCAGCTAGGCTCTCAGAGACCATAGTCTCTCTGCAGCTATTCATGGGTGGAAAACAAACTCCTGTAAAATGTCAGAGAAGTCCTCTTATGTTAGATACAAGGAAAGGTGTGGTTCACCTGAACAGAACCTGTATGCTTCAGGGACAGGCAATGTGAAAGCTGAATCAAGGACAGGCACTGTGAAAGGAGGAGATAGACCAAGGTAGGCAGGTTCTCTTTGTCTCCACTTACATATCTGACCCACACAAGGTCACATGCAGGGGTAGGCTACCCTACAGCCTTGACATTGTATTGCATCCCTACCTTAGTTCTCACCAAAGAGAGACAGAAGTCCCTTCTTCCCTAGCTGTTATTTTTGATTAAAAACATGTCTTAAAGATATACCTGCAATTCTAAGAGTTTGACATTCGAAACTGCACATGGAAAAACAAAATATAAAGGCCTTAATCACACTGAAATATATTGTCTGGCTTCTTTTTAGCTGATGGGGCTGAGTTACATTCTAGTTTCTATGAAATTCAAAGAGAACTGAAAGACACTTGTGGAAGTGGGAAATAGCCTAAGCAAGGTAAAAGTCAAGAAGGTTAATTAATTTTTATTTGAGTCAAACTGTGCATTGAAGTGCAGCCCCTTGAAAAATCATTTTCTGGACGTGTAGACTCTATTGCTGTAGGCAACAAGAGTAAGCCAGAAATTTGATCAGATTCCTGGTCTCACTTTAATGCTGATCTATCCTATCCAGTGCTATTCGTGCATTGAAAATGCTCTAATAGGAGGCAGGCAAAGTCAATTTCAGACTGAGAGTGCCAAAGGCTAAATTAATGCAATAGGAAAGTTTCAGAAGTTAGGGATAAAATAAAAGGGGAGCCAGGGTATAGTCTCAGGTGCAACTAAGTCCCCGTAGGCCCTTGATCTTGTCTTATGCAGGGAGTACTCAGTCTCTGAACAGTCTCAGATGATTACTTATGAAATTAATGAGATCCGTAGAAAAAAGATCTGTGACATCTCCAGTGTTTAACCTAGTTACCAGCTATTATAAATGTTTTCTTGAGTGTATTCCTCAAGCATCATCTCTCCCAACTGCATGAACGCAGACGGCACACGTACGGAACTGATTCAGCCCTCAACCCAGTAATGCCGAGGCCATCATCAAAGGTCTGCTTGCTGCAAAGTCTCATAAAAAAAGGACATGCTCAAAGGAGGCAGTGAGGCAATGAATACAGCTACTAGTCTATTTGGTCACATCAGCTTTCCCAGGCT